CGTCAAGACCAAACGTCATAACAGGGCGAAGTCCCGCTCCTGAACTAGACCGCCTGTTACCTGCCGGGGATTTAGGTAGCGCAGCCATAGTCTTTGGACTCATGTGCTGAAATAAATCATGAATGAGGTGCAACTCGTTTTGAACATTCAGGCATTGGCTTACCTGCCAATCATTCACGTTCTCATCTGGCATGTCACGATCGTCACGACCGACATCAAATCTGGAGTCATCGCCCAGATCACCGATTGATACCACGCTTTCGCTGTCGCTAATGTTGTCCGCAATGCTTGAGACGAGCTCTGGGAGCCGCTGCCATGCGTTCCCGCCCGTTGAGATCGTTCCGAATGGCGGGAGGCCAGATTGATCGTCGGACCAACCGAGGTCAGACAAGTATTCCTCATATTCCTCCTCGAACGCAAGATCTTCAGTAGTATACGGGAGGAATATGGATGGATCCGGTGCTTGAGAACGCGGAGGTGGGAAGACATCAGCTTCGACAACGTTCGGAGTACCAATTGGTCGGATGATGTTTCCGAGGTCTAGCCCTGGAGGTAGGCCTTCCATGTTGTGAGAAATACTGACGGAACGCCGATGGGCCTGGGATTGTTGACTTGGGATCTGAGGTCCATATCGTTTGTTGTTGTCTGAGGAGTAGGTCACAGTGAGTATGGTATATAAAAATGCGGGAAAAACGCATACAATACTTGACGAGGTGACGTAGAGCTTGTTCTTGTGCCTGGAAGAACATCGGCATAGGACGCTAACGACGAAACTCGTCACACACCTGAGCGTCGGAGATATCATCAACCTCGGTGCCAGTTAGCCATTCATCGCGCAGATCCGGTCGGCAGTTCAGGTAGATCGACGTGATCACCTTCATATTTGCTAATAAGGGGTAAGTGTAAATGCTTACTACTGTATCATCGCACATACATTGCCGCCACTTCCTCCCACAGAAGGGAACTTGACTCTTGATAAGTTTCAGGACATGGAGTTGAAGCAAAGGATGCGAAACTCGTAGCACGCGTTTCAACACCGCCTGGACAAGTTTGTAAATAGTCGATGACGGCTCAACAGGCGCACTTACAGAGCTCTTGTATTGCACAAGCATCCATATGCGATGTGACCGACTCTTGGACAACTTCTGCATAATTTTGGCAAAATTAATCGTGGAAAAGAAGTTGCGCCATGAGAACTCAGTAAGCATTTCGACTTCTTCTTCGTGATTTTGGCCGTTCGGAAGAATTTTTGTCTGTAGCACAATGTGGGCACCAGCACGAGGTTTCTCATCCTGTGGACGAGGAGCAATTTTCGCGTGATGTATCTGGCAATATCGGAAGAAGCTAAGTGATGTTCAAGATTAGTGTCGATAATCGCAGATTCCGTCTCACTCACTTGTGGTCGGGAGAATCGGCTTTCGATACGACGGATGATGAAACTTCTTGCAGTCCAAACATCTTCAGAATAAGCAGCAAGCAATTGGTATCCAATAGAAGCTGGCCAAGATGATGAAACTTCATCACATCTGTGGTGTACATTAGAGATGTGCTGACACACGTCAAGGGGAAGTACTCACGGGAAGCTTTGAACCATTTCAGCGTCAGCAACAAAATAGCTGAGACAGCTTTAGACGTAATCTCGCGATGCCGGGTCACATCGAGGTCGTCGAGTGTCGGCGGTGGGGCGGGAGGTTGCTCAGGGGCTAAATAAAATTATGATCGATGTATGAGAACGGACTATGGAGGTACACACGGGATGCAACACCGGGAGGGAACACCGAAGATGTTGACGACTGAGGAGCTTGCTGCTGCCCGGTCCCGGCGGATACAGTTGCCAAGAGGAGTTTCAGCAAAACCAGTACCCATCCTGACAGGACAGGCAATACGGCGCTCTAAGCGCAGATGAGTCGATGGTGATATGATGCTGAACGTACTTACATAGATTGTTTCAACCCTCTTCAGGCGCATGAAATCTTCCTTTCTTTCCCTCGCCTTGCGCTCTTGAGCGGGAGAAGTGGCGTCACCTATGGCCACAACGGCTTCCGAAATTTTTGCATCCAGCATTGCAACATCTAGTAATGGCTCCGCAATCTCAAGATCCTGAAATAAAAATTCTCAGGAACAGCCATCCAAATTAGCAATGGGACGGCATACCTCGTTGGTGACTTGGAGTGGTTCGGCATCACCCTCAGACCCAGGCATGCAGTCAAGCCCGCTCTCAGCAGTCATGCACTCTTCTCTCGTCCTCCACATTTGCCAGAGCGAGAGACTTACGTACATATGCCGATTGTATAGCTTGTCTGCCTCATCGATGGCAAACGGTATGAGGCGATCATTATTAGGGCCAAATTTACTCTTGCGCGAGAAGGGAAATAAGAATGGTCGATTTTGATCAGTTTGATATTGCTGTTTCTTGGGCTTGGGAGAAGGAGGTGGGGATGGTGCAGGTGTTGCAGGCTGAGGACCCGGGCGATATCCTGAATTAGGAACATGTGACTGGAAAGGCTGATGATTCAGCGAACTTGGGAGACCGGAGTGCTGCGAGTCTGCGTCATCGTGGTGATAGTGATGGCGGACAGGAATGGGAGAATATGCCTGTGCCAATTTAGAAGTGGAAACGGAGGGCGCGGGTTTGATCGGAGGTATGTCTAGTTGCGTAGGTGGAACTGGAGGCGTGAATGTCGGATATTTTACCGAAGTCTCCTGCCGGAACGTTTCAATGTCAAATGGGGTGCATTTGACGGCAACAACTGTGAGATTTGTTGTAAAACGCATTTAATGGATTGAGAAATGACCAACCTTCGTCGGGCACAGACGGAAGGTTGGCAAGTTCCCGTGCTAACTTCTTGACACGTGCAAGCTCCCTAATGCCTCCACAGCACGCGAGAAGTGTCTTCCAAAGCACAAGGAGTAACTAATTGTATTTCAGTTTCGCAACGCGGTTCCAGATCGGTTGCGGTGTCATACCTTCTTAATGGGGTATCCCTTCGCGCTCTTATCCCTCAATGCGGAGACCACGTTGAATAAGTACACCGGTAGCGGCGGGTCCATGCTCACTAACCGATCGGAATTAGCCTGTGTGACGTCTTCGTGTTGTAACACGCACTTAGTTCATCCGCGAAGTCATCGCGTTCCTTGAATATTTCGATAAGGTGGTACATCATGCCGAGATACACCGAAATTTCGGTTGTGACCTCTTCTAGAAAGTCAGCTTTTTCAGTAGGTGTGATCTGGAAGTGTGCTGTATCGGCATCTGAGAGCGAGCTATTATGTGAAGGTCAGATAACCGACCACGTATTGAATAAATGCATACCAAAGTAGATCATGTTTCTGACTCGCGATTTTCATTGATTCGACGATTGTGCTTAACCCATTAGCGATCCGCACAACCTTGCAGTTCTCGTAGATCCAGTGCAACTGATGCTCTGGAGACGTTGTCTCGGCAAAGGTACCTATGTCAGAAACGTATGAGTATTCGTCGTTTCGTCGTGTATGAGAATGGGACCTTGCAGAACGTAAAAGAGCCGACGAGCATTCGTAAATCGGATCTCTGCGTCCCTGTGCTCAAGGCTTTCGAGGAGTATCTCAACGTGTGCCTTCCGTTGTGCGGGAGTAGTATCGGGACTCGTCCACTCTATAAATACGAAGGTTATGTGTAATTCTGACGTGTGATGGACGGTGATGCATACCTCCGGGAAACGAGCCTTTCCATGCTTTTAAGTTTTCCGCGACTTGAGGCATCTCTACGTACGAGTAAAACTCATCGATCTCATTCATGACTGTGTCTTCGTCATCGTATCGAAAGTCATAAAAAGATTGCTATATATATGATGATACATTATGAATACGATAAACGAGGAGCAGAGCCGGAAACATGCCTTTGGCTTTGGTGCGCATGTGACCATTGCCTTGAGCTGTCCTAGTGTTATGGAGTCTAGTCCCAGCTGGGATGAGGCGTTTGCATTGTCTTGTTCCCCGGTAGAGTATGAAGGCGGAGCTGCAAATATCATGCCGCTCATGTTGACGTTGATGGACGTAGTAGTTTACAATGTAACGATAAATTAAAACAACACGACTTGTCACACCAGGTATCACGTGACCTACTCATCGTACCCTGACCTTGGCACCTGTCTGGCCTGATCTTATCGATGTGGCACAGGGCCAAGATCAAGGGAAACGGGCCGCTGAAGGAACGAGTCCTAAACTAGTTCTTATGACTCGTAAAGGTTCCTGGGGGGAATTCACATGAACCACCATCTGGCCACTGTTCGATAACGATGATGGTGGCGTTCCAAAATAGGTTGGCTAAGTATATGTGGGCGTAGTAAGGCGTCCTCATGTCCACGATTTTAGTCACGATTAAGATGATTCGCTTGACTCATCCACGTTTTATAATATTACACCATCATACGGGTAATTAGCCTGAACGTGTCATGACATGCTCGGCAGAGACGCGTACGCAAAATTGTCAGCGAACTGCGGTCTAACCTATATGGCATGGTTCCATGGAGATGTGATGGATGGATGGCATTGCAGCCCAGTACATAGTCGTATGTAGTTAACGGCCGCTGCACTCCGCAAGCGGAACCAAATCAAAATCAACTGTGAGAAATTATGACATAATCACTGCATTATAAGAATTTTTGGGTTCCTCCCGTTCTTTCAACCACGATTCTGGCTGTGGATCGACTTCGCAGTCGGTCACATTCTTGCCAATTCACTCACCGTTCTCGTTTCGGCTCATCGTCTGCGACAGCGCCTGCTTCGTTGCGATCGATTCGCTCGAGTATCGGTTTCAGATTCGGTTCAAAGTCGGAGACGCTCTCGGCGGTACAAGGTAAGTACTTACTGTGGTGCGACCCTCTGATATTTTATCATCGATAGCTCATCGAAATTTCAGAGCATATAAAAAGGCACGCCTTTGCTGCGCGTTTGCCACTCATCGCCATCTCTCTTCCTTCTGCTCTTGGATCTGCTTACGACTCATCTTACGATTTTCGCTTCCACTTCGATCCTTCGCGAGGCCCACCCACCACTAGATATCAGAGTCGTTCCCTGCTGCGCTTTACAGTGCATCGGACGCTCTCCTCTCTGTCCTTCTTCATTTGCAGATGCCAGTCCCCGTCCCTACCCGACAACCGGCGCATCCAGTTCATAAGTACTCCAAAACTGAAGACGCTTCAAAGTCTCACTCTTCCGTTTTCCATAATCTGAAGCACACCCTACCTGTCTCCCCGACGGGCCCACCGCCGTCTTTTGGCAGCCGTGATCAATGGATCAATTCCTTGCCTTCTTGGAGGAGGACCAAAACTCGCCGCATTTGGGAGGACGACGCGCGTTCCACTTCTGAAGAACGGAGAGAACGGGATTTTTACCAAGGGTTGACTAGTACGGCCGACGTGCAAGTCAGTAAAGGAAATCATGCGGAGGCATGTCTTCCGCCCCTGAATACCTTCCCTAAAAAATGTGCCTTGAACACTTCCCCAAGTGATGTTGACCAGCCAATGCATGCTGAGCACAGGACCTCTGCATATGCCTCCGCCTGGGGTACTGAGAGCTACGACAGTCCGGATAATTCCTCTACACACGACTACGTATGGCCTCGGTTCGCACCTGTCTTGGAGGATGACTCTGACGATATGATGAATGGCGGTTCTAGTCCCATCGGTCCTATGACTCCTTTCACAGAGTACGTGGACCGTGTAATCGCCACATCCGCAGGAACAACGGTATCCGACCAAATCCCGCTCAGACAAGATAATTCATATCAATATGGACTGCATTCCTATAATATGGTGGACTATCAGTACACAGACCAGATCAAACAAGAGTCGGTCACTTCGGTTGATTCGCCGCCATCTGCGTCAATGAAGTACAAGATGTTCGCGGAGCCAATGGCGGACTGGATCGTTTCATATGTCTGGAAAGTTTGTAAGAATTCAATTGTCCTTCCGCCTGCAGTTTCTCGCTACACGTAAGATAATTTTCCAGCTTAAATTTATTCTCAATGTTGACGTAACTTCTACAGTCCTGCGATGAGCGGGCAGCAGCCAGCCCCTACAGCTCCAATGCATTTGTCTGCCTCAGTTCACTCTCTTCTAATGTCGACACTTCTACAACCATCTGCTGTGTTACTCGCCATGTGGTACATCGCTCGATTACCAGTATACTTTAGCGGGGTCACTTCAGGGTTAGGGGTAAAGGAACGAAAATTTAGTGCTGAATTGCTTGATACAACCGGCGGAATTGACGGGAAAACGTTGGAGGCCAATGCTACATTCCGACTCATTGTGCTTGGATTCATGCTGGCAAACAAGTGGCTTGATGACCATACCTTCTCTAACAAGACATGGTAAGTACTATGTTGAAGGTCCGTGTTCGGTCGAAATGACCAATTCCTCCCCTTTAGGCACACCATCTGCAAACTTCCTGTCCACTCGCTAAATAAGCTCGAGTCGCTCGCCCTGGATATTCTTTCTCATGACCTGACAATATCACCTGCTGCTTGGCGCCAGTGGCTGGGGCATATGTTTTCGTATCATGTCTCGCTCTTGCCTCCTCCATACGCCCAGCCAATTTCCCGTCCCTCCTCGAATCCTCAATCGATCGTTCGGAAAGTCATTGAAGAGATCATGGAAGCACCTCTTACGCATCCCAGTTCGGAGCCCGTCTTCCTCAGCTTCGAGCAGAGGAGCAAGACAGAGCTCAATGGGGCAGAAACGTGCAGTGAAGCTTCCCAGGAAGCCTATGACATCGATCTCGATGAGGATGGACCGCTTCGGGAAGAGTATTTGCCAAAGCGCCGCGTGAGCAATGGCAGTGCTGCAAGTCGACACAGTTCACAACTGGCTTCAAGGGTTGAGGTCGAGCGGAGGGAGCTTCGCGAGTCCGCGACCGGCCAAAATTGGAACGCACTTCCCCCTCCGTCCAAATGGAGCCCGGCAGCTGATGAGCCCATTCACCGCGCTGGCGACCGTCCTGCGTTATACATGCCGGTCCAGCCACCAGCGGTGTGCTGGGCGCCTGCAGTCACTTACGTGCCTGTTAAACTCGCTCCGGATTATTCTAGCGTCCCGTATTCCAAACTAGCAGCTCCTTCGAACGATTACTGTTACTCACAGTCTGTCATCGCTCAACAGCCCTCGCAGCCACGTTGTAACGCCGATGCATTTTCCCCGCCTAATTCTGGCTACTCGTATCCGATTGGCTTTGACTACCAGTGCGGTCACGTTCGCATGTCATTCGATGGAGCAGGTTACCCCTCTCAACCAATGACAAATTCTAATTGGCTGTCAACTGAGGCATATGCATTCCCCGCACCTCGAGTTCTTTTTGGCCCCCATCCGTCTATCAATTACCAGTCGTCCTGGGTTCGTGCTTGAAGATATGTTTCTGGACCAGATGCTAGCGTGCGCATCTTAGATCTCAATTTCTCATGTTTTCCGGCTCTTAACACTACTGCAATCGATCCGACGGCACCGCTTACGTGCCGCTCCATAATTCCGCTCCCTCTGTCCGTCCTTTCGCGGTTGTCAATACTGGATTTTTTTTTCTTTGTCGCCGGCACTGTCTATACAAACACGATCCCCACCCTTTCAAGACATATCCATCCTGTCTCGGGGACAATCGCCTGTTCAATCTTCTTGATCTTCATCATTTCGATCGCGTATATTCTTATTTATATGCGCGTCTGCACTTGCTCTTTTCGCCAGCTGAAGTTGGTGTGAAGACGATGATCTCCTCGGACTATATGTGCCATACCGCGTTCATCGATTGAACATTTGCGGGTTCGCTGTTTCATCGTCGATGTATTCACTTATCATTTCGGTATCCTCATGCTCCTCAACTAATAACCTTTCACGACTTTTTTTCCTGCCGTCGGCTGTGGTGTTTCTTTTTGCTACGTTTTTCTCATTCAGTACGCATAACGAAATCACTCAAAAACATGCAGAAAATTATTAACACTACAAAAACATTTGCTACTCTCCTATTCCCCATCCTTCCGCCTTCGCTGCTATGGTAGCTCCCTTTCCTCCTGTCTTATCATCCGTTACCCCTTTGGTGATTAGTTTAGCTTTTAGCTTTTCTTTTTCACCTTCAGCTCGTTTCCGTAGGTAAGAAATTATGCGCCTCCTTTTTCTGGCATTCGATAGTCAAGCGTAAAGCCTACATATCGTACGTACTGGTCCTCGCACGTACGACTTGGTTTAATGAATGCTACTCTCCCGTATGTTTCCCATGAGTGTGCACACATGCTTGACGTCCAGAGGATGGCTTCATTCAGATGCAATTATACAGTACTTGATTGTCTACGTAGTACATGGGACTTCTTCGTTTGCTTTCAAATCTTTATCAGGATAAAAGGCACCTGTAAATGTCATCAGCGATAAAACATTCAGATAGATGGCTCTCATTGCATACCTCAACATCCTCCATCTCCTCATCCATGAGCATGACTTCAACCAAAAGGTGCTTGGCGTGCGGGGGAATAGGCTTCTTGCTGACGTGCTCTACCAGCCTAGTGAATTTCATAGGCATCCTCTCAGCGCTCTAAATGATTCACATGAGCAGTTGTCATGGATTGATCACACCCATTACGAACCTTCTTCTTGTCCGTGAACGAACTCCAGAGCATGCTCACGCCCTGACTAACCATGCTGACATCTAAGTTGTGGTTAGTCTTAAACCAAGTGATGAACTCCTTGAGCGTTGGGTCATTCTTGAACTCCAACCGGTCCCAAAGGGTCCACTCAGTATTTTGGAATTTGTTCTTTGCGACAGCGATGGGCTCCGAAAACCCGAAGAAAGGTAAAGCAAGGTTGATAAAACCGTTCTTGAAGTCATCTATCTTATTCTTTCCATCTATGATCTATAAAGCGCACGTGTCAGCGCACCCTTCCGGTAAGGATAGCAAACATCTTGCCTTGTAAAGTTCAAGACACACCAAACCGACGACGAGCGCGGTAGTAGTAGCGATGGCGGGAATGATTTTGCCTGCTATCTGCTTTGTGGTATGACGATCGGCGACGGTGATGTTGTAGTTCATCGCACGAAGGTTTGACGCAGCGGTAATGAGATCGATGTGATGGTTAGTATCATCGTCCTTCTCAAACTCGACAGGAGTGAGACGGTAGCCAGCAAGTGACGATGGAGGAGGCAGCATCTTGACCAAGTCGGAGACGTTGTCAGGATCTGAAAGGAATTACGCCCTGCAGGTGACAGTCTTAAAATGAGTGAACGTACCAGAAGACGATTGATTGACGGGATCGGTTTCGGTAATCTGGATCTTCACTCCGCTCCTTGGAGAGAACTCGGGAACGATCACAGAGTCTGCAACCCTCTTGAAAACTACAGGATCGGTCTCTCCTCGGAGGCCGTAATTATAGGCATGAAGATTTGCTGCAGCAATGATAAAAGAAAGATGTGTGGGCTAAGGAAAACAATCAGTACTGAAGGTCTAGCAACACGCTGGGTAACATACATCTGAAGAGTCGAATACAAGTGGGTCTGGTGCCCTCTTCGGCCCACTCCAGAACGGCTGGCCCGTGCTGGTAACATGATCCTTTGGAAGACTGTGGAGAAGCTGACGGATAGCGTTGTTAAACTTCTCCTCGAACTGCAGGCGAGCCCAGATAATACACTCCTCGAAAGTCAAAGGCTTGTTGGTAACCAGATATGAAACAATCTGGGAGATGTGGTCATGTGATTGGCCTGAGTATTTGAGGGAGTTCTCGAGGTAGTTAGGCTCCGAAAGATATTGATTGACAGATTCCACAGGCTTAACAAACATTGCGTCGAACTCTTGCCGAGCCCACTGTATTGTTATCAGACTCTGCTAGTCAAGAAAAAATTAAAGAGCGCACCTCAATCGTGTGTGTAATGGCATTCGGGAAGTTTTTGACTGTGCACGACAATGTCTGCTTCTCTGGGGGATCTTGCGAAGACGAGTACGACTCGGTGAGATGGGGAATCACAACTTGGGTATTGCCTTTTGTGCCCATGGTACCAGATTCTAGGAGTGGTTTTTCATACAAAATGCAACGCTGATCCATGTATACACCTACAACAAGTGTTGTCAGATGAAATTCACAGAGAAAAAGAGGAAGCCTTACGTGCAGCAACGTTATCCAATGCATTTGTAACACCGTCGATCCCCGAAAAAAAGTCGTCATCGAAGACATCTTTGAAAAAAATTCAAAATGGGGACAATACAAAGGGTGATAAGTAACTGACTTTCTGTCGCCTGACCAACAGGATCTTGTCTACAGAGAATATGGCCCTTGAGAGCTGGATTCATGTCTGCAACTGCTGCCGCTGCGACTTCAGACTTGAATTTTCCGAGATCTTTGGCACGAAAGAGGAATTGGCGATTCAGGTTACTCTTCTCGATGGTGTCTAGGTCGGTGACATGAATCGTAGCGTCGGGCCCGGTAGCGAGACCCATCATGCTCCAGTTCTTCAACATTTCACACCCGATTGCTCCTGCACCGACGAGGAACTGACGGTGATTGGCAAGCTTATCCTGGAAGGACTTGCCAAACACTGCAATTTGTCCATCATACCGGCTACCAAGGGGTTGGCAATCTTGTTCAGTCGGCAGTGTGGTCGGCAACGACTCCAAAGAATCGAAATACAAGTGCTGGAGCATAGGATGGAACTTCGCAGAGCATGCTTTCAGCACTTCTTGTGCCACAAACCCACCAATTACAGCTGCGATGGGCGGTAAATCTCCGGTTGCTTGGTATGCCAGCTCTGTGATAATCTTCTCATCAGCATCAGCATCTAATTTCTTCGTCAAAGCTACCAGGGAAGCAGCATCTTCTGCGTTTCGGGGCCGAGGTAGACACTGGTGTCGTGCCTTGAATTGTGATAAAGCCTGGAACCCTGCATGGAGAGTAGCAGGCCTATCGAACTTGGCAAAGTCTGTCATGAAGAACTCTGGAGCTGCAAGCGACTCTCGCAAGGATTTCTGAAGAGAAAGTGAATTACAATTTAATGAAACTGGAGTATAGCTTACAAACTGGAGGATTTTGGGCATTTTCACCTGGGTAAAGATCCCACCTCGAACATACTCTCCTAGGTCGGAAGTGTCACCGATGGTGAAAGTATATGGACCCTTCACTGTGACTTTGCGAGGATTACAACCATTCAGTTCAGTCATGCCCTGCACTTCAGTGAACGTGACAAAATCGCCATCTTCAAGACCGTGTCTTGATTCATCGAGGCATGTTACCAGCCCTTCCTTGTCCTGTTTAATAATAGTATAGATAGGACGTTGTAGTTATAGTTCATAAGACTTACTTTTTCCACTGACACAATCATTCCGGTAAGAGCTTGCTCGCCTGTAGGATCCACGCAAGTAAATTTTGGACCAAAGTCATTAAAGACGGAGCTGATCACGATCAATAACATATAAAAGGGAGTCGTAGCCATCACGTACCCAAAAAGACCATGGGTCTCCGCTGAGATAAAGTGAACACCATTCTGATGTGTCCAGTCGTTGATCTCAACTTGTTTCTCGTAAGAGACGCCACATAAGACAACGGCCTGGAGAAAATCGACATCACAATATGGCTGATAGTGCATGAACTTACTTGGAAAGGTCGTATTAAATCAACTGAGATTTCCTGTCCTGCATTTCCTCCAAGATTCCGGACGGGGACGTAAGCATTCAGTTCGGCTAAACGAGGTAGGGTGGATGCTGCGCGCGGCTTTCCGATATCGTTTTCGCGAAGGAAGTACTGTAGAAAATAATTCAATGACAGGTCTTGAGGCAGTGTGATGCCTAAGCACGCACTTGTGAGCTGAGATCCTGCATGGTGACCGGTTCTGGGTCATACAACGTCACGGACTTGACACCTGCCAGACAAACGTTCTTTGCTATGGAAGATATGAGAATTAAATGAGTTTGTTGGAACCTTGCTTGTTGGTAAAAGGGTTACCAATCTCAGCTCCGAGGCCTTGCAACCCGACGATCAGTACATTGGAGGCAGCCATCTTCTTCATCGCTGCGCACATCACTCAGCAAACATGGGATTGTTATTTTTATTTACAACACAACTTACCCTCATGCCCTAAAACATAGCTGCAAAATCACGTAGGATTGAAGGTGAGTGATACTAGCCGCACAGGATGACAGCAACACCTACAGTTGACGAGAGTACAAGCCTTCATCAATCGCGGCTTCGTCAACATCCATCTTTGCTGCTAGATTACTTGCATCCGCCATGATTAATATGTGCGTATGAAAGTAGGTGGTTGTAGTGGTGAAAGATAAGATCGCGGTGTAGCTGAATAGTAATATAGTCACGGTTATGCTTGCTAATGACTAAGCACAGCTAGACCAATTTTGGGACACTGTTGGTGACGAGCGCGCAGCGACTCGTGAGCAGACCAACTACATTGAGTGGGGACATGTACTGGAGTACAGGCCTGGAGAACTACGTCTAAAGATTATGCTGTAAGTACACCTTGGCACCTGTCCACAGCTCTTCTTCAAGTTGTATCATGGCCCCTGTCTTGCTCAAGGCTGGCACCCCGGACATCCTCCCAGTGAGCATGCCGTCATTAGTTATTGCCCACACGCCGATCTATACCTCTATATACTAGGCTCTTCCTTAACACACTCGAAGTGCGGCACAGACTGGTGGCAGCAAGTATTGCTGCTGCTGCTATCGACTCCCACTGGTCATTACCATGCCCATGCCCTCTGTCCTCAGTCAATCGCCTGCAACATGCACCCTCTTCACCTATATATCTGCACCGAATTCCACCTCCATCATGCGGTGACACTAGCGTCATCTCTTGCTTCGATATTCAAACGCAAAGACTACGCTCATGTCGTGCGCAACATTCTCAACGGGCACTCGGTATGTCATGAACCTAATTGTGGCGGAATGTCTTGGTCTGCTCCGGCGTCATACACAATTTTTGAAGGCTATATGGTTCAGTACTGCTCGAGGCATCTCAAAAACATCGGTATTAATGGCATAAATCAAACATAAACGATTCATCGACTATTCACAATCAAACAATTGCAAAATATGATGCTTTCGAATCAGCGAGGAGCCCTTCAGCCCCCCAGAGCCATTCTGCTCAAGATGGGAAAAAATAATCACGCCTTGAAACCACTGAACTCGTCGACGTCAGTATTGTCTGACATTCCGTACTGCCAGTATTTTGGTTAGATGACAAAGGTATATTTGTTTGGAAAAACCCTTGCGACCATCCAGCAGGAAAGATACCGATGAAAGGGCCAGGGTGAATGATCCAAAGGGGTTGGTCGACGCAAAAAAAACTGCCTGTGCACGATTTCCACCAGTCTGTACTGATGCAAATCACTTGAGCACGTTCTAATTCACAGCACCAGCATTAAAAATATGCCTGAGTACCTACAAGAAGACTCAAAATTAAGCATCTCGACCGTGTAACATTTAAACGAATCTGGTGGTTGAAGAGTGGTACTGGTTAGAGAGGGTCTTGATCCAAGACACTATAGCATTCGGGGCCACTTGGATTATCTGTGCCACATCACTTTCATTAGCCAGGACCACTAAAATGTTGCCTGGACTCACATTCAATGACAAGCATCCCAGAGAGTGTGATGCCGTCAGCAGACTGCACGCCACCATGCTTCACAGATACGAGGCTTGCGTGGCACCAGTGGATGAGTCCGGGCGGGCGAAGTGATGACCACTGCGGGTAAGACCAACATTGGTTCTACCAGCGTATTTCGAACTGAAATCGGGATTTACGTATACTGTCTACATGTCAGAGAATTTCGTGTAAGTTCGGCTAGCGACTCACTGCCTTCAGTCACTCTGATGTAGGCAAACACGACGCCCTTGAACTTCCAGGTATCCTGATGACTGGAAACGTCGATGTCCAGAGGATCCGAGCGTTTAGTGATAATTGGCTCAGCAAGAGCTGTCAGGTTACAGAAGAGTGATGCCGACTTCATGGTGTGATGATTGGGTAGGAATTAGGTTAACATTGACCTGGTATAAGTTATATCGGTTGAAGAGTGTCAGTAAGTGCGCATGAACATCACCAGGAATCACCTTGCCGAAAATTGCCTCGACTTTGAATTGTTTGTCGATGATACCAAGAGAGTGAATCCATATGAGATCCACCAAGTTCTGCTTTGAAGGAAGGCCTTGATGGCGAAAATGACTGGACAGAATATAGCATACGCGTCACCAGGAATCACCTCTCTCAGACATTGTCCCAATTTTGAATCTTTTGATACCAAGAATTGGTATTCCATCTCACTCCATAATCCACGTGAATCGCAACGACACGTGTCCGACGTCCAAGCCGGTCGTCGATGGGAAATACATGCATGCACTGTACCTAGCCTGATTCAATCAAACTGAAGCCACTGCAGGTAGTGCCGTTGCGTTCTCGCGAGCTTTCCGAGGATTCGTTGGGCCGGTGACCCAACAACTTGAATTCCCCGACGGTGGTATCAGAAGCATCTGTTCCTTCGTCGCGTAGTGGCGGCGTGATGGTCTGCCCAGGAAAGACCAGGATCTTACGAACAATTGACAGTCTGTCAAAGCGTGAGCCCCGGGTCCCGAGAGCGGCGCTGCAGCTCTGAAGTGAAACGCCAGATCGGGAGTTGACGATGGCCTTTTCGTTGTACAGCCGCACGACAGTGGCTCAAGCAAAGACCGCCGAGAAAACTGCCACCGTTTCAAATTGATATTAATCAAAGGGTGCATACCTAGTAGAACATATTCGCAGCAACACAAAGTTGGTACTTACTACTAGTTACTGTTGACCAGAGGAGTGCTAGTGAATCGCTGGCCAACTTCAAGAAGTTTGAGTCGTACGTTGCTTACTAAGATGTTCTTGCCCGTCGGACGCTTGTCCGACGGTCTTAGGGCTTGCATTTATAGGGAAGACTGACTCAGCGTGGTATAACAAGAAACGACAACGGTATCACAACGAGCTACAGTAACTGTAAATATCCAAGACAAAATGGTCGATCGGCAAAGGTGGAAAGTCAAGGTGCGCGAGAGACGTATAGTACACGCTGAAAACTTGAAGGTAAGAAAACCCTGTATCCACTATGGGCTTGCGTTGGCCGAAGCCAGCGCACTGACGCTGTGCTTGGCGGAGGCTGCCAATGCTGCCAATGATCTCGTTAAGATCCACCAGAACAGACCATACACGACACAGAAGACAAAGCATATTTGTGGGATGGGAAAGCAAGGGGAGTATAGAGAGGAGATGAATATGATGGAGCAATGACGACTTTTCACCCAAGAGTGGTCTGGCAAGGGCCATAACGACCTACAGAATGGACCAAATGCGCGCCAAAGGCGCTCAAAGGGCCCCCAACTGCGGCACCCCAGGTCCCTTGGGTAATGAATTCCAGTAAATCCAACGCTGTTGTAGGCTGCCTCGATTCAGGTGCAAAATTATGACTACCCGGGGCAATACCCATCGTACGAGGGTTCTTATTGACAATGGGGTCTGCCTCGGGACACCAGTCACTGGGGTCGGGGAGACAGGCCAAGGGTTTGACTGGAGTGGGTGCGTGGATCATCAGAGGATCCTGGCGGGGCGCTGCGGCAATTTTCTTCTTCCGGCCGCGGTATCGAATGAAAGTCGTATTGAGATCTGTGGCTTTATTGACAGCGAGCACATCATCAAGAACGCGAACTACGACGATACTTTTGTCGCTAGAGAGTTGGCTAGAGGAGACGCGGAGCTCAAGCACCCAGCTATGCCATGAAGAACTGGGGATGTACCCCAGATAGCCGAGAGATGCCAGCGCGGTCTTTTCAATATTAGTGAGGGTAGAGGAAGGAATCGCGGTTGTCTTGACCCTAGGTAGAGGTTCAGCAGTCAAGTCATCAAATAAGATGATCCCACGCACCATGTCTTACCCGGGAGGCAAGAGTCGTTGACCAGTTTATCGGCCAGTCTTGCAACGACGACAAAAGCGGAGAAGAGAAGCTCGTCAAAAGTGGCCGCGCCACAGCAGTGGAGATGGTTGAAGATCGAGACTCCTAGGAAATCATTCCCTTGGCCTATTTCTGCCATGGTAATCTCAGAGATGTACCACAACGCATGAATGGCAACCATTTGAGGGTTGCCGACGGATTCAAGAATGAATCGAATGCGAGTGCCAACAATGGAAGTCACGTAATTTCGCCCATCCAATTCCCTGCTCGTTGAATGAATAATCATGTTGAATGCCTCAAAAAAATGACTCACGGGTCGGGGAATGTTTCATCTGCGCCGGCTTTGATAGCCAGCGAGTACATGAAATGCGCGGAAAGGCTAGAGAACGCAGTTGCAATATCATCAAGGTCCGGGTTTTTGGGCGCGATGACCCGAGGGACAGCGTTGCTACCCGAGCGCTCAAGGGTATCTGAAAAAGCTGTAACTACCCTGCCAACACCATCCGAATTCGACTGGGAGAGAAGACTCTCTGTACCATGTCTCCCTTTGGTGACGCCAGAAGGAACCTCGGAAACGCAGCCATGACGAGCGACCGAAGGAAGAGGAACAACATAACCGAGACCGGGAGGGACCATGGGCGCTGAGTTGCTCAGCGCGACATCCTTGGAAAGGGCGCGTAAGCGAGGCGGCAAGCGCGACGGCTGAGACATGTCAAACAGGCGATGCTTGAGCGAGTAGGAGGGCCCGCTCCCACAGGAGGCGCGAGCAAAGTTGCCTCGGGCAACTTTCGAGGAACTGGCAGCAGCAAGAAGGGACAATCCAAGCTTTTGTAACTCCGTCTGAGTTGAGCACGCTTTTACGTCGTGTGGGGGTTCCGCAGCCCCTTGCACGAGGTAGGGGTGATCAACAAAGTAGGAACGTGTTGCCCGTGAATGGGCGAAGGGGTCTTCCGTGCATGTGGTGCTAAGCGCCTGCGGGGCCTCGATCGTGCCCCCGCTGGTCTTCATATTTCCGCTGTCAAAGATCGGTTGCGGAAGGGTACCTGCGTCAGGGAAACAAGCCCATACTGGCTTTTTAAAGTACGGGTTACAGAGAGGTTGACGTTTGAAAGACTGCCTTGAAGCAGGAGTATCTCTGATAGCAGGCATTATGATCAATACAAGTGTGAACAGGGATGCTGATTCAGGGAATACAAACGAACAGTACAGACCCAAATAAATGCGGGGCGCCTTTTGTATCGCACCCCCTCTCCCCAATAGGGCAAACACGGGAGCAGCGTGAATGTCCACAAGTTGTTCAAGCGGTATCGACCTCCGATCACGGTTGTGGCGCTCTCGACGGCACTATGGACAAAGCCAAAGCAAGCGGTGCTCACCGCCGCCACAACGATGTGGAAGTAAAGCTGGGACAATAAAATCACAGGTCCAGGATTTCCATCCGCTCAAAGCGCAGTGACGACGACGACCTTGTCGGGGACAAAGCAGTTGAAGTGGCGAACACCACTTGAAGTTGTGGAGCCTTCATTATTTCGTGTTACACAACTTGATCATTTCCAAAAATGGACTGTTGTCAAGAAACACGTTTACAACTTACGCGAAAACATTTGATTGTTGTTATAGGTGTGACCTGAGTTCACAAAGGGTTACTTGTTTCGAACATCTTTTTGGAAACTTGTCCACCGAGGACTAGTTGAGTGGCGAATTCAGAGTCGGCAGAGAAACAGAAAAAAATAACATTACGTTGAGAAACTGCGGGAACGATACATATGCCACTACATGCTCGAAATTGCCTACTTCCGATAGAACTGTGGCAGTGAATAAGCACTGTATACAGGTACTGATTATGGAAGGACCTACATTACGACGGAAATTGAACCAAAGTGACAGACATCCTCTATCAAAACTACTTCGGAAGCCCCTGTGCCAGCACGTTCAGGATTGGCGCAACAAAGCCAGGACGCGAGGCTGCTCACCGTTTATGTGAAAACTCCCACTCCCGATTGACGATCCTGAAACCAATGTCTTCATATGGAGGTCCAGCGCTGAAATGTAACAACACGGTGTCCTCATTGCCGGCTTCCCTGACGATTTTGTACGTAGGGGCTTTTGATTTGTCGATCAGATCCGGGTAAAAGATGTTGAACTGAAGTATGACGTGAGTCGGAAGTCAGTTGTAGAGTAATCGACACATACTTTATAACCCTGAACGACCTTCGGAGGCGGGTTGTCGACGCTAATTAATGGCGTCAAGAGAAGATCAAGAACAGGAGATAGAGCACGCACTCGTAGTGAGTCTGATTATACTTATTCCATTCGTAGCCAGTATGCACGCGGTTGAAGTATCTAGGTTTCCGAGGTCGGTATTTATCCTCCCAGTTGTATGACGTAGGATTTGCAATGTTCTCCTCAAGGTTAAAGAGTTCCTCCTCTTCGTCGAGTTCTCTCTCTGCCTCGGCCCTGTACAAAGCTTCGGAAGCGAGGTCAGCACCGCTTGCAATCTCTGGAACTTCGACCTCAACCATAGGTTGAGCAGCCTTGGGCACGAAACGCGAGGCAGCGACCGTACGGCGTTGTTTCAGCTGTCCAACAATAAGCGGGATTTCAACCAACAACAAAAGCGATGCCTACCAAAGCACGAAGGTCGTCAAGCTCTGTCACTATGTCGATTTGGCGTTCATCTTCCGTTAACTTTGTGATGTCTATCAGTGGCGGACTCATAGACCTATCATAAGGTTCCATGTCCTCCTGCGTGTCTGCTTCTGCTGTGGTCACAGGTACAACATAATTTGCGTCTTTCAACCCTTGAGCTGCTGATCGAGCAACACCAGCAAGAAGCTCTTCCTGTGCGTGTAGAGCCTCGTCACGCTGGCGCTTGCGTAACTGCTCAAGTCGATTGCGAACGACGACTTCATGCAGGCTCTTCAACTTTGCCTATAATGTGAGGGTGAGTTGCAGTATCATAATTCTGTAAAGAAGAAGCATACCTTTGCCTTCCAAACAAGTAGTCTCTTCAGGAGCCCCTCCCAGTAGTCCGTATCAATAGGTTCACCGCTTGCGAGCTTTGCCTGGATTTGCTTTTGAAGCGTTGCAAGATGGTCGTAGCTTTTACCAGATAAAAGTGCAGTGATTTCTGATTCCACAGCGACTGATGCTTCTACCCCCATGCGTTCACTGGCTTTAATTCTGTCAATACGGTCTTTGCAGACCACCATCATATTCTGAGGGACATCATCAGCTAAGGGAAAACAACAGATGCAACTAACATACCGTCCAAAAGTCGATGTCCACCTCAGAGGTCTCAAGTGAGAGGTAACGCTCAATATCATCATGAAGTTCGTCAATTTGGTCAGGCGAAAGATTCTGTGGGACCAGTTAGTTGCATGACACGACGTTCGAGGTCTAACATACGTACGTCGAAAATGTTATACGGCTCGTCAAGGTCAATTTCGAGCCCGGCATCGTCCTCGATATGATCTTCGTCCAGCGGATGTGCATACTTCAAGTTCAAGGCCAAGAAGTCAATAGCTTTGGCCCTCTTTTCCCTTATGCGAATGGCAGCCCGGCTTCGCTCCTGCTCCAACTGGAATTCCCCATCCTTCGCTATCCATTCCGACATCTGAGCAGACTCTGCCATTCTTGCCATGCGCGACTCTTCCTCTTCCCGCAGGCGTTGCTCTGCTTCCCGTTCCGCTCTCCGCCTGTTTAACCTCTCAAGCTCCTCCTTAGCATCTTGCCTTCTAATCGCATCCTTATGCTGTGCCTCCGCGAGGGACAATCCTTGTTTGCGGTCCTTCTCATTTTTCTTATGCCAGCGGAACTGCTGCCCGAGGTTTACGTCGTGGAAGGGATTATCGGTTGCGCTGTATACACTAAGTTCAGCAACCTGACGAGCTTCTTCCTCTTCCTTTATGCGCAATTTCTCTGCTTTGCGGGCTCTGCGCTCCTCGGACTTGTCGCGTTTGCGTCTGCTTCAGGTAAGTGGGGCATCGACGTGAATGGAAAACAAATACACACTTCTTGTCCTTGCGCTCTTCGTCTTTGGCTCTACTGTTACTTCGCTCTCTCTGTCGGCGTGAGTGTTCCTCGTCGTGATCCCTACTCCGACTACGCCGCCGCTTCCTGTATTCGTCTGGTGGGTCCAATTTAGAAGAGCGCTTGTCGTCTTTGACGCGGTCTCTGTCTCTTTCACGACCATGTGAGCGAGAGCGGTGATGAACCATGCTTGCAATTTTGACGATAACTCGGACCAACTTCCTGTCTCCTTCAAGAAAGTTGCTCCAAAGGCTTGGGATAACAGTGTTTGACATTGTTTACACGGACCTGCTCTTGTGTGATGACATCTTGTGAGATTTGTGTCCATCACGTCTATTCTTTCAATTCCTCTGTAGACTCTTAGTTCCCTGGGTTGTAAATTGCATAGTAGCAGGTGCTCAGCCTGATTCTCCTAATAACAAGGAGCCATGCTATCGAGGTTCTCGTACACCTGCCGAGTACACCCCTTGCGGGTCCTCTTTCGCAATCTCCAGACGCAGGCACGATACGAGTATCCCTCGCACGATGAACAGGATGATAGTTCGTTTCTGCCACGATCTGGACTTGCGACGCCACGACAGGTAATAACCATCCCCGCGTTTCGACCAAAAGAAAGACTAACAGCTTGTCACTGACAGCTTGTACGATACCTCGATGAATATGTAATTGGCCAGGAGACTGCGAAGAAGGTCCTTTCCGTCGCGTGAGCATTCATACGTATTGCTCTGTAGTATGTGTAACTGAGGCAGTAGGAAGTGTATTCAACCACTATACCCGTGTTCGCGCAAATCTTGCCGCCTTTGACAATGAGAGTGGTGCGGACTCATGGTCCGAAGCAAATGCTGGTGATGGTGTGTTCCGTTTATATTCTCATCATCCGGAGAGGATGCTAATGAACTCAGCACACTCTGGCGTGACATCTGCACACTTACATCCTCACCCCCAGCGTGCCCTCCCGCAATTATCACTCCAGCCTCGACAACCAGTCTCGTTATTTGAGAAGAGCAATGTGCTGGTAATGTAAGCCGAAAACCTTTACATAGAAGTATGCCCTACTCAGAAATATCGTTTACTCCAGAGGACCAACAGGATCAGGGAAGACTTTGCTCGCGCGTACCCTTGCACGCGTCCTTGACGTTCCATTTTCTGTCAGTGATGCGACATCTTTCACTCAGGTGCGATAACTTCCACTACTATTACAAGCTTTTCACTCCTTACTATGTCGAACCAGGCTGGCTGTGAGTCTAACTGATTGCCTCGTTTGAAGGTCAGCTGATGTCTCCTCAGATGTCGGAGAGGATGTTGATATGTGCATACAACGATTGGTACGCCCATATAAGCTGAAGGCGTGTGGACAGTCTCATTATATACTACCTAGCTGCAAGCAGCCAATTGGGACTCGTATCGTGCCAGGTAATTCTCACCCTCACCCTGTTCATTACCTTTATTACTAGTTTTAGCTCTTCTCATCGTTGTCTATTCTATTTTCTTATATCGCTTACAGCACAGGTATCGTCTACATTGACGAAGTCGATAAGATTGCACGCAAATCCTCATCTACGACTGAGAGTTCACGGGATGTCGGTGGTGAGGGAGTGCAGCAAGCTCTCCTACGAATGATGGAAGGTTCCGTTGTTACTGTGCAAGGAAAGCCATCGTCACTGGAGCCCCCGGCACCCACGGCACGAGGGCGGAGCTCACCAGCTGCTGCACAACGTAAGTCTCGTCGAAACGTATGGTCTGCGCGAGGAGTACTAATATGTCAGCCAGAGAGACCTGATACCTTTCATATTGATACTTCCAATGTGCTCTTTATCCTCAGCGGTGCGTTCGTGGGGCTTGATACTGTCGTGAAGCGGCGGGTGAGCAAAGGTGTATGTTTTTCATTCTCCATCTTATATGTTCTTCAGCTCTTATTGATCACCATTCCTATAAATTCAGTCCATTGGTTTTACCGCGAACCTCGCACCCAAGGAGGAAGACTCAGACAGCAAGGGTTTCATGCCATTCTTTACATCGAACCGCCGATCACCAGAAAACTTACTAGAGATGGTTGAACCTGCTGGTAAGTTATGTTTTATTAAAATACCACTCCCGCAACCTCAAAATGCATCCAGATCTGGTGAAATACGGGTAATTCGTCGCATGCTATGTCAAAATTTCAAATTCATTTTCCCTGCATAGCTTTATTCCCGAATTTATCTCCCGCCTCCCAACCTTGACGACATTATCCCCGCTAAGCACCCAGGATTTACGACGCATTCTGACCGACGTCCGTGGGTCACTTATCAGCCAGTACACTGCGCTCTTTGGCCACTCTGGCGTGGAGATTCGCTTTACAACAGCATCTATTGATCAAATATGTTTGCGAGCTGTCGAACGAGGGGGAGGGGCGAGAGGGTTGAGGGGAATCATGGTAGTTTTTATTTACCCGGAAAATTCATCAGTATGCTCATTATATACTGTAGGAATCATTGCTTTTAGATGCGATGTACGAAGTCCCGTAAGTTCTCAATCATCCTGCTGTTGTATTTTTGTTAATTGTTTTCTGGCGTTTTACCAGTGGATCGGTGTGATATTTCTTCTCCTGACTACTACTCACACTAATGATGTCTAAGAATGTCCGTTATGTCCTGATAACGGGCGACACGGTGCTGGGCAAGTCTCCAGCTCTTTACTGGATGCGAGGGGACGGTCCCGCGTTTTGGGCGGCCTGGGCTGATGAAGAGCAGCGAGCAGAAAGGCATTAGGTGTAGGTGCGTATATTTGGCGCAGGAGAATTGAAAGTCTGCTTGCTCAGTTAATGTGGTGAGAGGCACGTCCTCCTTGGAATGTATTGTCGTGTATGTATCGTGGGACACAGGATTCATCTGGGACTCTTCAAAGCCTTCGTCTTTCTCATAGATCTCAATTTCGATGAACGCAGATACGGTCACGAGACCACGTGAACGCGACCAGTGAAGATGAAGTTCATTCCCACTGAGATGAAGGTGGGGAACTGTCTCCTGTCATGATGTCACGACGAGTACATGTCGGATGAATTGGGTAGGTAAGTGATTTACATTACTTGGTCAAATGAAATGGCAGCGAGCGGTGGTGTCACGGGGGCACTCATGAAAGCAAATTGACGGATAGACGTCACAACAGGAAAGAGGCATTAAGGAGAAACAAAGGGATCGCTTCGTCCAGTACATAATTATTCTTTCTTCTCTTCTGGCGATTCCTCTTTTTTCTCCTCTTCCTCTTCCTCCTCTTCCTCCTCCTCTTGTTCCTTTGCTTCGGGCGCAGACTGCTCGTCGAGAGAGGCGCTACTGTTCATCTTCTGTGTCAACTCAAATTGACGCTTGAATTCATTTGCATTATCAGAGTTTGCGAAGCGGATGGCCAGAGTTTCTGCGGTTGGTGGTTCTTCGGTATAGTCGGCAGCAACCTTCCAAACCCAACTCCTGTCAGAGCCAATATTAGGCTGAAGGCGCATTTCTGAGGAGACTGTATTTCTCTCGATATAAGCAGAACCAAGAGAGGCCAAAAAGTCAACTGACTGTGGTGGTTGGCGCAAACTTTGAGGGTTTTGTCGCGTCTCATTACAAGACGAACCTTCTTCGTCTCCTTGTGCTGAAGAAGTTTCACATCGCCTGTGCCACGTTCTTTCCACTCGTTTAAGATATTATCGAATCGGAAGAGCTTTGCTCGCCTACAATAGCGTTAAATGATGGTAGTCATTGGGTCAAGGGGTGCAAGAACGCACATCTTGAAGAGCACATCCTCGTCTTCCTCGTAGGTCTTTACCTCCACTTGTTCCGTGAGCTTGATAACAGGCTCAAAATGAGGATCAATCTCCTCGCCCTCTGGCTGATTACATCGCGCCACAATACCGCAGCTCGTCAGTCAATCACGTTGGACTAGTCTCGTGCCAGAGACTCACCTTTGGTGCGAGTGCATCAGAAGTATCTGCCATTGTGATTAATTCGTAGTGCTTCTAGGGAATCTGGTGTTGAGAAGACAAAATGACTGAGACTGAGATTACGATTACGAGCAAGATCACAAAGAGCACTCAACTTTGCAAAGACTGATTCGATTTCTTATCGGGACCTCGAGCACTCCCATGATCAGCAGGTCCCTAGGGTCTTGTCAGTTTCCCAATTTGGACAGAACTTTCTCGACAAGCACCTTCTGTCACCCAACTACTTACTCGCTGCACAACTTTCAAAATGACGGTGCTTCTGTCGTGGCGACATACGCCATGGCTCGTCCTCTCGATACTGTCTCTAGTCTCCTTTGTTTCTGCCCACATGATTGAAGTTACAGCTTCCAGGAAAGAGTGCTTTTTCGAAGACCTACACGAACATGACCAAATGACAGTCACATACCAGGTTGGAGAGGGTGGACACCTCGACATTGACTTCTGGGTACGCCTATCATAACAATGTTTGTTTATTCTCGAGAGCAACCTTACTGACTCCCTGCATGTAGCTAACGGACCCAGAAAACATTGTTCTCACTAAGCACATCCGTGAAAGCACCGGCACGACGTCCATAACAGCTGAAAAGGATGGCCGATACGAGTACTGTTTCTCTAACCAAATGAGCACGGTGGCAGACAAGATGGTTAGGTACGCCTTTCTATCCCCGTAACTTCCTGGTATCCATCCTCACGGGGTCTGCTTAGCTTCAACGTTCATGGTATCATATACGTGTCAGAAGAAGGTGAATGTGCCTGCCTTCAATCATTGTCAGATTACTAACTTTTCTTCTTCTTTCTCTCGCAGCAGATGTCACCGCTCCCGTTGAGCGCGAGATCCGCTCGCTCGCTATAGGTCTCACATCTGTCAAGGACGAACAAGAATATATCGTTGTTCGCGAGCGTAGACATCGGGACACAGCAGAAAGCACCTGCGACCGTGTAAAGTGGTGGTCTGTACTCCAAGCACTTGTATTGGTCGCGGTAGTCGCGTGGCAGGTGTATTACCTTAAGGTTTGTTGTAACCCACTCGTTTGCTGGCTTCTGTAAACTGAATTATGGCTATAGAGCTTCTTTGAAGTAAAGCGCGTTATATAGTGCATGGACTGGGGAAATATCATACGCTCGCTTCTACCACCTCAGGATGTGTCTCACAATCATAACACTCATGCTCCAAATGAAGGATGGTACATCCCTAGCTTTTCAGTGCTCAGCGGTCTTCGTAGCTGTCAGAAAGATACAAGCTTCCAGTGATACGGACGATTTCCAACACGCTTCCTGTGGTTGCAGAACACATAATGGGCGCCTAACAAAATCATGGCATGGCTGACCGGTGACCATTGTCATGCTCGTAATCTGTCATTCGCACATTTTTCTCAAGTACTCAGAAATATCTCGATGACTTGCCTGACAGGACAACTTCGATTATACAAACAACAGAATAGCAGGTATACATAGATCAATGTAAAGTAATATAATGGCCGATAGCATGCAGGGAGGATATGTGCAAGTGCGATTTGGATCATCTGACAAAATACGAGGAATGAGACAACACGGGGTATAGCGAGTACAGTAGGAATGGGTGATTGATCATATTCGTCATGATAGCATAAGGAGTGATACTGTGTAATGCACATATAGAAGTACAGGGGAGGCGTCGCCTCTCCATCTAATGAACAGAAAAAAATGCAGGTTACTCATCTCCATGTAGGCTTTGAAGATACTCTCATGCTCGAGTCAGGTAGAATACTCAGGTCCGCGCTGATATTAGCACTCGTATCGCTGATGGGTACCGGGAGGGTTGCCATCACATTGAGTCCCTTCACCCGCAAGGACCTTGATGCATTGGCAAGAAGTGAAAGTCTCTTTGGCCTCTTCGCAGGTGAACGCCCGATCGTTTCTACGCGTCTGGGTCCACTCGTGGATTCGTGCAACGGAGCATCTTCAGATGGCTGGAGGATCATACTAGATCGTCTCCTTGCCTTCTCGCTGCGCATAGGTCCAATGTTCGAACGCCGTCGGGAGTTTTTGGACTGCGTTGTTGTACGGGAAGTTGATGTGGGAAGGCGTCGCGTTGGGCTAGCATCACGGTCCTTGTATTTCGGAATATGTAGAGATTCTATATCTTGACTATTCATAGTGCGGTTTGAGAGTGGCAGTGCACGCCGCATTGGTGAGTCTTCGTCCGCCTCCTGAAGACAGCCAAGGGAAGATGCGCCTTTCACTTTGAGAAAGCTCGGGTCCAGGCGGCTTGCTCGTGGGCGCTTGCTTGTGCTCGAGTGAAGGGTCATGGAATTGAATGATGAAGAGGATGATATAGGAAGCATGACGTTGCTCAGATTGAGACTGTCTTCTGTCCGCTCGTCTTCCCATTCGCTCTCGGACCCAGCAACAGAATGACAGCGTCCATTAACACTTTCGCTGCTATCGCTGGACGTAACGAGAATAACTGGGGGGGATGGGGCGCTTCCCCTATCGTCTAGTGCACCTTGTCCGGCTTCATCTTTCCATTGAACTACCTTCTTCTCCTTCTCCTTGTCAGAGACGCGACGATAGGGTTGACCGATACTAGAACGCAGGGAGCGTCGCGGTGACTTGTACGCCCGCCGTGGAGGTGAAGCGATAGCATTGTAAGACATGGACTTTCTGGAAGCTTTGACAGCCTGCGGCAGTGCCGAACCTGATGGTACGCGGAATGTATCAAGAGTGCCCGTCCCATGAGCCACATATGCCGCCGTAGTTTGTCCTACCAGTGCTGCAAATGCGTCGTCATTTTTCTGCACCACACCGCGAAGTACAGATGCCATTCCTTCGAAGCCATGTTGTGCTTCTAGAGAACGAGCCGTCTCTCCTAGCACAACCGTGCACCGACCGACCATACCCAGGAGACTGATCATCATTTCTGATTGGGTGCGCACTGAGTCCCGGACTGCATCACGTTCTCTTTCGGCTCGTACGCGCTCGATCTCTGCCTTACGGCAGCGTGCGTCTGTCTTGATGCAGTCGACATGCAACTCCTCTATTTTATCGGACCGTCGCTCGGAAACTGCGCGCAAGGTTGCCTCAAACATGTTACGGGAGTTTTGAGAACGTGTAAGACGAGTTACGAGGGGGGAATCAGGAGTTATTATGGATTCCTCAAGGCGAGCCAGAGACTTGAGGAGGGCACGTTCCGCTTCGAGGTCTGAAGAAAGCGGGGGAGATGATGAGGCCAGTGCATCAATCTGCGCAAGCCGAGAGCGGATAATGGAAAGTTTCATCTCTGCTACCGATATCTTTCCAGCACACGACGCGCCCTCAACTATGCTCGCCTGAGTCTGTTCCATCTTATCTTGCATATCTCGTTTAGAGCGGTCAACTTCAGCAGCAGCCTCTGCTCTCTTGCGCTTGAGAATGTCATTCTCAGTGCCGAGCTTGCCAGAAAGCTTGGCTTTGAGCTCGGCAACTTCGAGGTTGAGTCTATTGATAGCCTCTACGTATTGACCTACGTGTCTGTCGACGTTGACGACATTACGGGTGACAACCTTTGTCTTGATTTTCGTAGCACGTTCTGCATAAAGGAGGGTGTTATGCGTATCATCGAAGTGCTGCGACGTAGGAGCAACACAAACGACCATGACGGTCTTACAGTTCCCGCCCAGTGAGAATTTCAGCAATCGAGTAAGTTTGCTGTTGCGATAGGGCACATGGCGGATAGCGCCACCGCTCTCACAGAGCGCGTTAATGCAGTTGCCGAGCGCGAGAAGTGACTTGTTGATGTTAGCACCTTCAACCATGCGCTGTCCCATATTGCTTGTTGCTGCGGCACGCTCACTACCGGCAAGGTCAATAATGGAGAGCGTCGCCATGGTGCGCTGCTCAGTCAGAGAAGCCGTACGAGGGGCTTGGGTGACATGCACTTGGAGGACTGCATGCGATCGGGACGATGTCTCGTTCGCATGGGTTGGGGATTGTGTCCTCCGCGAGTTGCCCTGTAGAACAATCTGTTTGACTTCCTCCGCGCTCGTGGGATGGAGCTCGACGAGACCCACGACCTTGACAGATTTGTCTTCGCGAATTTGCAGACCGCCACGCGGTGTGGGCATGCCAGGCTCGGAGAGTAGATCTCGAATCTCTTCATTGTAGATTTCGAGAAAAGTAGCAATGACTTCTATGTTCCAGTCATCTTTTCGATCCTCGATGCGTTGGAAGAGGTCCGCCATTGTGAGGTAGATGATGCCAGGGTCTCCTTCAGTCCCGCTGATGGTATGTGTTTTACCACACCCTGTTGCCTATGGAGGAGCATCGTCAAAAGCCACGCAACGGCATTTAGTGAAATTCACATACCCCATAAGCAAATACAGTAGCATTGTAGCCGTCCAAAAGGCCATTTAATAGTGGTTTCGCGGTGGCTTCATAGACGTCACCCTGTCTTGCCCCACTGTCAAATACTCGATCAAACATGAATCTCTTGTCCTTGTATCTCTTTGTCCCAGGGGGCACAAACCCGCGCTCAACAAATGCACGTGTCTTATCTCTCTCCTCTGGGTCAAATGTAAGAATGCGGTCATCGACTATTTGCACGATGTCGCGAAGAGGTGCTGACTGAGTTATAGGTCTTCCTGGTGTTGCAAGGGTGCCGTCACCGCGAATTGTAGTATCATAAGAGAGCTCTGGGAGACGTGCAGCTTCCCATGTTGTGGGAGGTCTGACACGGACTGGGGGATATTGGATTATGAAAAGCATGTTATCAAAGAAGCTTACCCGCAACAGTGATGGAGCCAGCGGCAACCATGACTTGTCAATTAAGGACTGTCAGATTGTATAGAAACGAAATGGATGTTTGTCACTGTGTAGGATCGCGATGAAAGATGTTAGCTCGACGCAGCGAGCAATTATGAAGTATAGATGCAGGATTGCCGGATGCCTCGTTCAAAAATCAACCTGACGCGTCCAACAGTATGCTCACGTGATCGTTCGGCTCGTGACTTTGACTCAGTGCGACTGTGAAACAGACTTGCGTTTATTACATACGAATCTAATGGTGTGTGGAAGTATTACTGTCGATGTCCTCTTCAGCTATGTTCGTCGTGACTTTGAGCAGACATTTTTCAATGAGATTGATCATGTGCAAATCCGTGTCACCATTTCACATTGCCGGCTGTAATTTGCGAGAACCATGCGGTGCATACCAAGTACACATTGCACATGTTCTGTATTACCTCAGCTGCGTAAACGGAACTCCGTTTGATTGCGACCAATGACCAAGGATGTATTATAGGGAGAACTTGCCAGAAGGGCCCGCATAGCAAGTTTCACGTCTACAGCCTTCATATTTCAAGCACCCCCGAATAACATGGTGGTCATCGACTCCCGTGTATAACCGAGGCTTCCAACACGGCTGTGGTATTTCATTTGTAGGCCGTGATGTTATAGCGCACTGGATGGTCAATAGGGGCTTGCGGTAAATTCTGTGACAAGGCTGGATATCGCACTAAGAAGCACATCGCTTCTACGTCGTCAGGGATCTATTCATTGCATATGAACGGCGTCCCCAAAAGCTGTAGCGACTCGGACTTATCGCACTGCGAAGGGCAATCTACTGGTGGATCTCCTGCTCAGCAATGTTATACCAATTTTTCTACAGCACTCACGAAGTCGTTCAATGAACCAACTTTGTACGTTCAACTTCTCTAGACATGAGGGTACTGGTTTGCATTAATGACATCACGCACGCGTGCGGTGCGTGTGATCGCATGAACAAACCTCAAGGGGGGGAACTAGCGGAACCAGCTCCATGGATGGGTGATGTAGTCACTGCGGCCTTGCTAAGCTCCTTCCCAACGTGGTTTTTGAATAGATGGTCAAGAGACGCCTGGCTATTGTTGTTGATAAGGATTGATAAAGCACCCATTCAGGCTGGAGCTGACATGATAAGTACAAGCGTGGGTCGAGAGGATGCCAAGAAAGTGCAGTATTTCGACTGGCAGTGCAAGCTGTGACAGGGCTACCGGTGAAGAGCAGTGTTCGATCTAAATTCCTGAAATTCTGCGCAGCGGTCCACTGTGGTCGTGAATGATCTCCAATTTAATGAAACAACTGCCATGGGTGATTTCACCGTCTTCGTACGCGTGTCGACACGCGACTAAAGCTGTAGACGAATGGTCCGAATATCGATGGAGCGAATCATGAGCGCAGTAGAAGAAACTAACGTCATCCAAGAGCGCTTCTGCCGTGCACAAGCTCTGCCCCAAAAAGATCAATAAAAGACACTGGCCAGTGACCAAATGCTCTCCAGACAACAACACCCCCCCTACCATAAATTTAGGCTCTCGTCGTGTGACCAGATCAAGGATCCTTGTAAAAAGGAACGTGGTGATAAACTTAACACTCTTTGATACCGTCACAGTCGTTATCAT